AACTTGTAAAATATAGTCTTATATTAAATTGAGTTATTCTATATGGAAGAATCTAATTTAAATCTAAACGAGATAAGAAATACTTTTAACAGTCTCTAAAGTTAATAAAAGTGCGAGCAATGAGAAAAAGCATAAATGTTGTTGAGCTAGTTGAACCGTCCTTATATAATATTTTGACTTTTCCTTAAAACTAGGTGATTTGCCAAAAAAACTTAAAATTGCTATAATCACTCTAATTTTTAAACCTGGCGATGAAACAAATGTTTCAAATCACAGACCTATCTCCGTCTTACCTTACTTCTTAAAATTACTGGAACGTATTATGAACGTATTTGTGAACGTTTTAAACACGAGACTTTTCAACTATTTAAAATTACTGGAACGTATTATGAACGTATTTGTGAACGTTTTAAACACAAGACTTTATAACTATTTAATGTTCAACAATATGCTGTACAATAATCAATTTGGTTTTAAGAAAAATAGTTCAACTAATCATGCTGTAGTCGAACAAATTAACCATGCATTAGATGCATTCAATAATGGATATTTTACTTAAGATTTTATTGATCTGTCAAAAGCCTTTGACACAGGTAACATGTGGTGTTGAAGGTTCAATCATAGGACAATTTTTTTTGCATACAAATGGTTTGTATTAAGCCTCAAGTATTTTAAATGTTATATTGTTTGCAGAAGACTTCAATAATTTGTATTCCGTCAAAGACATAAAAGTTCTCGTTAATATATTTAATAAAGAACTATTCAAAATAAATCCATGTGTGATTCTACAATCTGTTTCTTGTAATCCGAGTGGATTCCAAGTAACAGGCTTTCATTGACTTTAAAAAAAGCTAAATTTATTTTATTCTACAAACTTAGTAAAGGTTACATACTTCTATTAAAATTACACAATCTCCTAATGAATAAAGCATTTGTTAAAAGGGAACTAATCGTTAACTAATCGTTAATTTTTTAGGAGGAATACTAGATGAAAAGTTGTCGTGGAAACCACATATAAAATATATTAAAAATAAAATTTCAAGAAACCTTTCCATATTATATAAAACTAAACAATTTCTTATTCCTTGAAACAAATATACTTTTTGTTTATTCTTAGTTTTATCTCCTAATGCAATATTGCATGGAGTTAAACGATTTATGGTAATTTAGAAAAGATTTATATTAAAAAATGCTTAACTGTATTTGGTACACATAAGGCTTTCATTGCAAAACACCTTTTAGGAAACTTTGTGCTTTAAGCGTTTATAAATTTAACATACATCAAGTTCTATAATTCATGTTTAAAAAAAAAAAAGAACTTTCTACTACTGTATTTAAGTCGCACTTTAATAAAATTTGCGCAAATATCCTAATCGATTTCAATTCAAAACTTTGTTCTTCCAAGAACTAAATTAAAACTAAGCTTTTACCAAATCCAATACCGTGTACCGCTTATGTGGAAACATTTTTCAAAATTTATTACAAAAAAGAATAATGTTCAAAACATCTCTTCTGAACTGGCATATTATCCTAGGCTGAAAACAATGTAACACAGAAAATATCTGGTTACCCTTGCAACTTTGCAAAGAAGTGATTTACTTTACTGTATCCTGATGCAGCTAACATCTGCCGAAGATAATTTTGTTCATTATCATTATATCTAGTCTTAATTTAACAAAGAGTCCCAAGTCAAGGGTTATATGACGTTTGAGTTAATTTTTACTAGCATTTTCCTAAAAAAGCGAATCTAACAAATCAGTGGTCGTGAGGCAAGTTGTATTGAACTACAAGTTACCAGTAACATGGCGATCACGCTTATCTTTAACCTTACCTGATCTATCACATTATCAACTCTTTGTATATATACATACAGTTTTTATGCATATCGCCTATAGGTTTCTTTTTATACATAAGTAAATGCAAATAACATAATTATCTTTCATTCTTGGAAGTAATTTTATCCTTTCTGATATTAGCATCCATATATCTATGTTAGCATGAGGCAAAGATTGTTTCATTTTAGCTGTAAACAAATAAATCTTCCCAACATCGGTTGGGAAGAAGGCGTGAACTTCCTCTTAAATGCTCTTCCGCGTTGCTCTGTGAGAAGACCGTGAGGACTTCTTGGGGCACCTTAATCAACTTAAAAAAAAAATAAAAAAAAAATAACCCAATATGGTTAAAAGGATTTTGGATTATAGCTAGTTTTGGAAAACAGTTAAATTAAGTTTATCAAAGACTTGCAATCGATAATTAAGTGTCGCCTATTAAGAATTGGCTTTTTATTTGGACGTAAACCAAATAAATCGATCTCTTTATAAATTTTCCATCCTATAAAATTTTTAAAGTATTCACTTTTTAAACCTAAATAGCCTAGATTTGACAAATAAATGATCTATATTTGACTCTATATATATTGTTTTATCACAAAGTTTATTATATTTAGATGAAGTAAAATTAGTACCGTTATTACATTGATACTTAAAAGAATGTTTAAAATAAATACCGTTATTACATTGGTACTTAAAAGAATGTTTAAAATAAATACCGTTATTACATTGATACTTAAAAGAATGTTTAAAATAAATACCGTTATTACATTGGTACTTAAAAGAATGTTTGAAATAGGAGCTGGAAGGTAAAACATGATGTATAGTTTACCACAGAAGTTGCAAAAAAATGACTCATAAAAGTAGTTGAAAAAAAGTTGCATGAAGTAGTTTTTTTTAAAGTAGAAAATATATGGAAGTTAAAAACTGTGAATAATTTTAACTTAAATTAGAAGAATGACTTTTGCAGTGTTTTACGGCGAAGTAATACATAATTTCCTAATAGTAATTTCTCGAGTTAAATCACAGTTTAAAAAGTTTTTAAATTCTTTTTGTGAAGATTTTAAAAAGAATTAGACTGTAAATTCTAAAATGGATTCTCAGAAAATTATTACAAACATTTATTAGCATTATGTGCAGACAATTATTATGAATCATTATGTATCATTTTGAATGGTTATCAGACAAACGTTATGAAAATAGAAACCATGTAAATGTTTGCTCGAATAAAAAAATGTTTTCTCAAAGAAAAGAGTATTTTCAACTGCAGATGCTTAAAAGATTTGTGGTATCAATAGTAAAAAAAAATCGTCCATGGTTTCCATCAAGTTTATTGATTAAAAATTGCATCTAACTTTTTTGAAAAAAATGTATCTATTGATATAAGAATGTTTTATTATTTCGAGTTCAAGAGATATTTAATAGCAAAAATTTTTATTTAAGAATCACAAACCGTATGACATATTTTAGATATTATAAAAACATATAAAGTAAATTTATTTATTTTTAATACAAAATAAATCTAATGGCTTTAAACTTAGAGGTCATGATCGTCAAACTTTTAGGTATAAGGACGATAATGGGCTATTTTAACAAGTTAAAACCTTTTTGCTTTCGTTTTGTACATAAGTACTGGAGTATTCCTACGCACAATCCCATAGTAATCTGCAAACATAGCTTTATTCCAACTATTTGATATCTTTGTTTTGTTACAGTATGTTTTTGTTGCAGTTATATGGTAAAAGGTTCCACTTATATCTTTGTGGATCCTTTTACCATGTTCATCATTAACAGCTCTAAAAATGGGAAACAAAGGTTTTGGTGTAATTGAAGAAAATAAATCTTGAGCAACATGTTACATTAAAGTGGACTTTTGAAAAAGTACTTTTACTTATTGAATTTAGTTATAATAACTCATAAGTTGACTTGTTTGTATATATACAGAATCATTCATAAGTTGACTTATATGTATATATACAGAATCATTCATAAGTTGACTTATATGTATATATACAGAATCATTCATAAGTTGACTTATTTGTGGCCCAACAAAAATAGCTTTTTTTAACTTTTTTTAAAAAAGCAAATATTTTATTTAAAAAATTATTAAAAAATAAATAAATTATTAAACACAACTTTTGTTGTAATAGGTGAAATCCAGGTAGTTAATACCGTTTCTAATAATCTTTTAACCTCATTTAACGTTTGACATATACTTTTCCAGTTTAGTGTACCATACCTAATTCTTAAGTATTTTATGAGCTCAATGTTTACTTCCTTATTAAAATTATCTACTACTAACTATAAGTAAAATATAAGTTGCCTAGTTACTGTTATGATTTAATTTAAAAAAAAAAAACGCCTAACAGACGAGTTATCAAAAGTAAGAAATATGACAGGATTGATTATACGAGGCTAGATTTGTTTTATCAAAAATACCAATCTTATTAAGACACAAAGAATATACTTACAAATTATTTTTCTAAACCAGAGTCTATTTTGAATGAAGATAGAATTCAAGAGTTACCTATATATGCCGAATATATGTGCTTTTAAAAATAAAAATAGGTTATAGAAGAGTTTTTGTAGTAAATTATTTTTAGAGACAATATGATAAACAAAAATTAGGAACCTCTTCTGTTTAGCATATTTAGCGTTAAAAAAAAACTATAGTAAATATTCTACAATAAAATTAACTTGTGATAAGTGATCTTCTTATATCATAGGAAGCATTTAGACCAGTATATCTTCATCTTCTGTATGTGCTTTTATATAGGAATATTTATCAGCATTTAACCTGCTTACATTGAATTATTTTTACTGATAATTCTGATTACTATATAACTAAATTAAACTGAGTGTAACTAAATTAAACTGTGTTTAACTAAATTAAACTGTGTTTAACTAAATTAAACTGTGTGTAACTAAATTAAACTGTGTGTAACTAAATTAGTTCTATACTTAAACATATGCTTTAAAAGCTTTTGGATTTATATTATAATATCTTGTTTTAACAAAAAAATAATTTAATTGATTTAACAGAATCCATTGAGGGAAAACTATGATTATCATAACTTAACTTTGATGTTTATTTTAAAGTTCAGAGATTTTCAAAAAACTCTATTTAAAAAAAACCTTTATAAATTTTTTTAAAAATATAATTATTTACAGTGCCCAGGTATGTTTATCTAATTGCTCCAGAATTTATAAAAAAGATATTTGCAGATGGAAAACTTTTTCAAAGAGCTACTTCATTAAAGGTTTTGGCACCTATAATTGGAAATAGCATGCTTACTTCAAATTACGAAGACCATCATTGGCAAAGAAAGTTATTCAATGGAGCATTTACTTCACAACAGCTAAAAAACTACTTTCCTGCATTTTTAACGCATACTGATTTTCTAATGAAAGTAAGTTTTGATAATATTTAGTTATAGTTTTGTTGTTTTTATTATAATAATGCAAAACAAATTCTTTTAGTTTGTAAGTACATGGTAAAAAAAGCAGTTAAAGATAAGAGAACAAGCAAAATAAAAAACTCAAATAAATTATATAATTGTAATAATATTTAGAATGAAATACATATTGTTGTTTTTCATTTAGAATTTAAACTTATTTTTAGTGTTTTTAATTTAATATTAAACCAGAAATAGAAATTTCATAAGCTGTGAAATACTTTTTATATATTAACAGTTTCCTGGATTTGATTCAAGCCAGTCATAATATGCTACTGTAAATATTGATTTAATTGAGAGAAAACATCAAAAAGACTGTATACAATAAGTAGTGAGCAAAAGAAGCTTAACAAACATACTCCAATCTGTTTGCAAAAGAGTACTAACTCCCTTGCAAAAAAGTACTTAAATTTGTTATTGTCTACTAAAAGTAGTATTAATTGACAGTTAGTACAGTTAGTGTGATTTATAAAGAATCTCATGGAGATTGACTAAGTGTTGAAGCACAAAAGGAAAATATTCTGAGGTCATTCATCCGCTTTTATTATCGATATTATTTTATTTATTAATTCTAGATGTTGGAACTCCTTTTATGAAACTATCCAAGTTATGACTTCTGAAAAAAAAAGTAAACTGAAGGAAGAAGCTCTCCAAATGCATAATGTTATTATAATGCCAAGTTTTTCTCTTTTTCTTAAAAACTTTGTCTCTTAGAAAATTTTAGTCAGGTTTTGTGTCATGCAACCTCAATTATGTTTTTTCTATTGCGACGGAAAGCAGCAATTAGTAACGCTTTTACGTAACCATTAGCTAGCTTGCATATGTTTTTATGAGTCAATCTATACACAACGTCTAAAAGCTTTTTAACATAATTTTAAACATTCACAAGCTTTTTAACATAATTTTAACGTCTAAAAGCTTTTTAACATAAATAAACATTTTACTGCTGATCAAGTTTCTTGATCAGCAGTAAAACAATTGTTTTGCTGTATATTTACTTGAGTACTTTGATAGTTCATCCTCATAGGTTATATTATTTCCACAGATAAATTGCATGGATATCTATTTAAATAACCTTGTTCAGTAAATATTTTCATTATATTTTTTGTTCTCTTTAGCACAAATTTTTTATCATCAGAGGATAACGCGGTTTGTTGTTCAGACAATGAAGTTTTGAAAATACTAATTAGTAATAATTATTAAAAATTGCTACTTTTACAACATATTTGGTTCAATTTATTTTATCTGTTTTTGTATCACTTTATCAAAGCATTTAAAAGATTAGATATATGAAATAACGTATTATTTCAACCGCTAGTGGAATATTCCCTAGCTAGGTAGGTTGAGTATACGCTACAAATGTTATATATATAATCAAACATTGTTATGAGCCAAAAATAATTTTTTGTTGTACACATAACAAAAAGGTAACTTATTTAATGATAACAATACACAAATTAATAACTTTAAGATTGCAAAAGTGGTTTTTGCGGATTATTTAACATAAAAAAATATTTTTCAAATAAATAATTAGTTTTTATTCCCACTTAAAAGTGCTCATGAAGTTGGATCAACAATTGTTTCCGGCAAAAGTTTACTAGCAGAAAAAACAATACTCTATATTTTGTCAGACTTTAATTGCGCTTAGTTTGGGAAAGCTTCCCAAAGTTTACGAAAAAAAATCAGACAAAATTTCGTCCATTATCTATAAAAATTTAAAGTTTTAGCCAGGCTGGGAAATGTTCCCCATGATTGAATGTTCTCTGTCTTCCCTTTTAAAAAAATAATGTTCCTATTTATATAAAAATTTTAAAACAACTTAAACAGCGACAATTAACAACTCTAAATAACAGAATTAAATTCTGAAACTAACCAAAATGCTTTTGTAATTTTAGCTTTGGTCTTATACAAGTGATAAAGAAAGTGGGACAAACTTAACTGTTTTGGATGATTTGTCTAATCTGTCCTTTGATATAATTGGTGATGTTGGTTTTGGCTACCAATTTAACACAATCAACTCTCATTCTGGTAATGAATTTACATCAGCTTTTAGATATTTGACTGAACTGCAACATAATGCTAGTGTGTTCTCAAAAGTTTTGATAAGTTGTTTTCCGTTTTTGGCGCAATTTTTGTTATTGTTTGGAAAACGTAGAAAACTTATACAAGTTGTCCATAAAACTTTGAATAAGGTAAGAATGGGTTGTTTCATGAGGTATAGTATGCATATGCTAGTTTAGTATTTTATTATTTTTGCAACTGAATTTGTTTTTAATGTGCTAATTGTTTCTGTATAGCTACAAAATATCTATGACAAAATAATATTTTGATATATAATAAAATTAAAGTATAACTACGATACCTATGGAAACAACAAAAATATATATATTTAGTAAACTAAAACTAAAAATACATACAGCAATAATATAGCTACTAACATCTTTGAAAATTCTAATTTAATATTCATTTACATACAATTAAAATATCTCACTCTTTTTACTTAACGTAACTCTCTTTTTTATTTTAGTTCCGGAAAAGCAGAACACATTAATGCAAAAAAAAGCACTCGCAATTTTTTTAAAATGTTGTCTAGTTTTATATGTTCTACCTTTTTTACTCCAAGTTCTCGCAAAAGATAGCCCAATAACTTTCAAAAATATATCATTTTATTTGTTATTTATATGTTCTCTATTAATTCAATAACTTAGTATCATAAATTTGCTTTGCTGAAAAAATTTTTTTTTGGTGTATTAAGAGTCAAACATTTATGTCATAGCCTGGTTATGATTCACATCTTCTGGTCTAGCTTTTGTTCTAGCTTAGTAAGTAATGAACCTTAGACCAATCTTAGTTAACTCCTATAATCATCATCCACCACGAATGTTGCATCTCTAGTTTGTTGTGATTTTGTTGAATATTTTATAACAATCTTATTATTCTTAATCTTTCAACTCTAAGACAAACTTTTATTTTGATGGTCGAGCTTCATGACTTGTATTATATTTTTAGCCGACATTTCTTTGCATTAGTTTCAATCAGTCTCTAGAAATGGGCTTGAGTTAATCATAATATCAATTTTTTTTTTTGCTAAAAAGCAATTAAATCTGAAAAAAGTTAAAAGTTCAAATTAAAAACTATTAAATAAGAAAAAAAAAATTAGATAGTTTCATTCATCTAACAAATAGTCAAATACTGTTTGACTTGAAATAGCTTCAGTTGTGCAATTCTCAAAATCTATGTTTACACAATCATAAAAAAACCACGTAAGGTCATTTACGTTCTCTTTAAGCAATATAAAAAGATCTTCTTTATTAAATATAAAAGCAACATTTCCTAGTAGGTGCTTGTTTTTTTATGATGCAGGATTGAATGGCTAAGAGCCGACAATACGGGGGAGAAAAGGGGGACCGGGGGCACATATTCCCATCTTTTTTTAAAGAACTTCTTTTAAAAATTGACGATTATGTCCCTCCACTTCAAAACCCGTGCTGTCGGCACTGTGACTTGACTAACATTTACACGTCTTCAAGTATGTCCATCTTTAAATGATATTGGGTTCCATTAATTTATTTGATACTTAATAACATTATTGCGATAAAAAACTTCAGTGATCCTTTAGTCCATTAGTTTAATTGTTGAGGTTTTGAGCACTCCAATTTTATTGGGCATAAAGAACTTTTGTGTCGTGTTTTAAATGTCAAAATCTATTCAGTATTTATTTTAGCTCTTGTTATGGCAAAGTATGTTTTTATTTACGTTTTTGAGTTAGTTGAGTTCCTAGTTAAAATCTAAAATTTGCGTAAAATTAGTTTCCATGTGTCATTGATCATTTATAAACAGCTTTATTATTTAAATCATAGTTTCAAACACTTAACCTTTTAAAATGACACTTATTGATTAATTGATCATATTTGCAATATTACATTTAATACAATAATAAGTTTGAGCTTTTTGGAATTGAAATTAATGTTTGTTTTAGAATATTTTAAATATTCATGATTTTAGCTTTTTTGTTTTTATTAAAATATTCAGTACTTTTTAATGTGAATTCATCTTTTAGCTTATTGAAAAACGTAAAAAAGAAATTGATGATGGAATATCAACAGAAGAGAAAGATATTATCACAATTGTTTTAAAAGATCAACAGCAAGAAAGCAGCAAACTGACAAATGATTTGATCAGAGATAATTTATTATTATTTCTTATAGCTGGTCATGAAACAACATCTACTGCTATGACTTGGTGTTTATATATGCTAGGCACTGTAAGAACCATTACAATTTATAATATGCTATAAAATATAATTTAAACTACAAATAAACCTTTTAACGGAACATAAAAAAAAATTTTACATACTACTTTATTTGCAAATGTGTTATGAAATTTTATTTTTAATTTTTTTGAATTCATTTGATTTTTTTTAGCAATTAATTTAATTTTATTTTATGTTATAATGTTATAGTTATAAATTATTTATATTTTACTTTTCAATGTTTCTCATTTTTATTCAACCCTCTCACAAATCATTTGCTTAAAAAGGTAGCAAAATCATTTACTGGTTTCAGTTATTTTGCTATATTGAAGGCTTACATTGTTACATATATAAATATATATATATATATATATATATATATATATATATATATATATATATATATATATATATATATATATATATATATATATATATATATATATATATATATATATATATATACACTGGTACTTGTTTTGTAGCTTTTCTTTGCATTTTTCCTAACTTTATATTGTCTTTTTTCAAATAAGGACACCATTCTTGAACAGCAAACTTAAAGTGTGGTCTTACAAAAATTGTATATAATTTATTTACTATATCTAAATCAAAATATTTAAAAGTTCGTTCTATAAGAGCAAGCATTTGATTTGATTTTCATACAACTTTTTCAATGTATATAATATATAATACAAATTTATTAAATATAGTATAAATAGTGAAACATTTAGGGAGAATAAATACACTGAGTGAGGATTTCTACTTTTAGGATCTTTTAGATCTTTTTGTGTACATTATTTTGTGTTTTGTGTAGTTAACTAGGTTTTATTTAAAACTTTAACTTTTTATTTAAATCCAGTGTATTTAGTTTGCATTCTTTATATAAAACTGGTTTAATTTTTATTTATGTGTATTATTTATATAAAATCAGTAAGTCTTATTTTAATTTAAATTTGTTGTTTTTTTATGGGAGTTTCTCAGTATTTTCTGGGTTTCATTAATATCATTCTTTCGACTTATAATATGTTAATGAATTTTATTAATTTAGTCACTGATGATATATCACCAATACGATATATCACCATGAAGTAAAATGAAGTAATATAAATAAAAGTTCAAAAACTAAATTAAGCACAAAATATATTAAAAAATTAAACATACAAAAAAAAATTATACTGCTCTTAACGTGTATCAAAAAAGTATTCTATTTTAGTAAGTTAATATGTACACAAGAAGGTAAAAAAAAAGTAAACAGTACCAAATTTCTTAAAAAACCTTATATATATATATATTATTATGAGGAATTTTTTTAAACATCTTATGAATTTTGAAAAGCATATGTTAATATATATACTCTCTTAAAAATAAAAATAAACAAATTCATAAGAACACTTACTTCTTACGTATTTAATGAAAAAATTGTTACTTTACACTTTTTTTAAAATACTGATTAACATTTATTTTTGCTAGTCAGTGAGATATATTACTTTTTATCTTAACTACATTATCATCTCTTTTTGTAGAACTTAGAAGTTCAAGAAAAACTTAGAGAAGAGATCCAGAAAAATATATTGGATAAAAAAAATATTACTTTTGAAGAAATCTTGAGTTTGAAATACTTAGATTGTGTCGTTAAAGAAACCTTGCGCTTGCATGGACCAGCACCAATTTTAGGCAGAAGAAACATTAATGCAACAAAATTTGGCGAATATGAAGTTCCTGCCAACACAGTACTACGAACTCATGTTAGCAGTCTACACATGAATGAGACTATTTATCCAGATCCTCATTCATTTAAACCTGAAAGGTTTATGACAGGTTAGGTTGTATATTATAAGTTTAAAATTTATTTATTTATTTATTTTTTTTATTTATTTTAATTCACCTCCTCAAGGCCGAGAAGGCTACTACAGACGAGGAGGCTACTTATTTGTGGCTATAACCCTCTCTCAACTCTATAACTCCGAAACACGAACCTTGATGAACAAGGCCGCTGCGCGGAGAAACAAGTTGAGCGCGGTACTACCAGGGACGTGGTGAGGATCGAACTCCGAACCACTCGTTTATGAAGCGAGCGCTCTACCACTACACCACTACCGCATTATTTATTAGAGTGCTGAAGCAAAAGTAATTGTTTTACTTTACCATCAGCAAAGTTTGCTTGAGCAAACTTTACTTATATTTTTGTTCAAATAAACTTGAGTACTAATAGAGAAGAAAAAAATCAAGCAAATAATACTTGATGTTTTTAATAAATGATAAAGTCGCTACCTTTTTAGTTTTTCTTTAAATTTCTTAACAATATTTTTTATTTGTAATTCAGTGCCACAGTGTGATGAAAAAAAAAAAAAATTGAAGGTACTAAACATTACATAATATTATAACTTAGCAGCGCTTGAATTTTACTTGAAAGCACAAAGTATTTTATTCATTGTATGTACGAAGTAAAAACCTGCATTCTATTTTTAGAGTGAAGCTAGTTATTATTTTAAATCAGTAGTTATAAGATAAAAGATCTTGTATTTTTATATAATAAGTAAAGCTCTTGTTTTTCTATATAATAAATAAAGATCTTGTTTTTTTATGTAATAAACAATAATCTTGTATTTTTATATAACAAACGAAAGTCTTGTACTTTTTTCAAACAAAATAATTTACATCTTTTCTTTTAAAGTTTATTAATTAATCAATATACTTTTTATGAAATCGGTCTCGTAAACATGTATATCGGGGCCTGTGGCTAAAGGTTTAAACTATTCAAAAGTTATTGTGTTAATAATAGCAATTAACCTCGTAACTTTTTTTAAATTAAAGTGTAACTATTATCTAGTTTATGAGCACAAAAAATGCTTAAAAAATGTTGTGACAATTGTAATGGTAATAATGTTTGAAAAATGATTTTTTTTTAGTTTCCTTATATATAAAAAACGAAAATATTGGTTAGGTTAATGCTATACCACGACAAATTTACCTGACAGCCCAGATACAGTTGTTTGCGAAAAACACTTTCCACCTAAGTATCTAACAGTAATCAGATTTGCTTGTAAACGCCCTCACGATCCTTTATCAGTTTTCCCATGTATCAAACCTATTTTAATATCTGCTCTTCCACCACAATTATGAACAACCTTTAAAGCATCTTCTCTCTAGAACATTCCGATGAACTTATTTCATAATGATTTGTTTTAGCTGTAAAATTACATTCAGCTTATTACATTGGAATTTACAAAATAAAGTAGTTGATTTTATTGTAGTTAATGTAAATTGGTATTTAGCTGGTGAACAGTTGCATTTAGTAAACATTTACTACTTAGTATTTAATATTTAGCTGGTGAACAGTTGCATTTAGTGAACAGGCTATAAAGAAAACTCTTCCATTGTCAGATTTAAGCCAAATATCAAAAGTGATATTTCTTTTGAGGGATACTTTTGTGTGATTAAGTATAAATTTGAATCTTTATCTGAAAATAAAGATTTCATAATCAATCTTGCTCAAAATTAAAAGAAGCTATTCATTTTTTATACATTTAAACAAAATCCAATAAAATAGCTTCACATAATAAAGCTCATACCATGAATGTGCTGCAAAATATTTTGTAACACATCCACTGTATGAGCTCTATTACAGTTGCAAACAAATACAACACAGAAACTTTGTATGAGCATTTCAATACTTAGCAATATCAAATTTATCGAAGAATATAAAAAGATTATAAACTACCTAGTATTTACCCCTAACAAAGCTAACTTAAAAACTGGATTTTACAATAGATAATACAGAGTTTTTAAACTCTTTTTTTTAAAGCTTAAGAATTATAAGCAAAAAATTGTTTGCTAATAAATAAGGAAGTTTACATCAAATTGTCTCTTATTTACCATGCTCAATTTTTGGGAAAGCAGTAAATAAACTTTAGAGCCTTTAGGAACTACTGTTTTAAGTTTTATGTTAGTGTTACTTATGGAGGCCCACAATGTTTTTGTGCATCAACTTAAATCTGTTGGTAATAACTGGATCACAGAAAAATTTGTACCAGATTATAATTAAGGAAACTAAATATGCATACTGGTCTAATATCATAAGTTTGTTCAGACATGATTTGTCTATGCAAAAAGAATGTATACTGATATTTGATATAAATATCCAGATAGAGCAGTTTTTAAAACTTCAAAAAATGCTACACTAACATTTTTACTTGGCCTTGCAACAATAACTAACAATAACTGAACAAGTGAATAGATGAGAATAACCATGAATAGAGGAGATTGGGGATAGTTGCAACAAAATTTAAAAAACTACATTTTATCTCCTATAACTTTAAATTTTTTTTAAATTTCTTTCCGGTTTATAAATTAGGCCATAGTGACATATTATTCTAATAATAATAAATTAATATAAAATTTAGTTATTCCTCATAAGCAGGAACAAAAATAAAAAATAAAAATAAATATTGCAACTTAACCCGCATTGGGAAAAATTAGAACAGTAAATGAGGTAAGTAGCAACACAATACTTTGAAAGTATATAAGCCTTGCAGAGTTCACAGAAAACTTAAAGTTAATCTGTAATTTCTCTTTGTTAACAAAATTTTTATAATTAAATTTAAAGAAATGATTATTTTTATTGAGCTGCATTACTTTTTTTATGCTCGACTTCACATATATCTGACTTGTTTAGTAAGCTGATAAATACAATCAATGGCTTTAAAAACTGAAAATAATAATAACGAGAATCGCTATTTAAATTGTTTTTTTATTTTATCCCTTTTTGTATTTTTAAACAAAAAATTTTATTAGTCAATATACAATAAATTACTTTAGAAAAATTCCAGAGATGTCATTAGGATGTCAATGTCATTAGGATGTCATTAGGATGACATTAGGATGTCATTAGGATGTCATTAGGATGTCATTAGGATGACAATGTTTTTAATATATAAAAGCATAATAGCATTTTATCGAAAAAAAAATTAAATGTAAAAAATAAAATAAATGTTCAAAAAAGTTCAATAAAAACAAACAAAAGAAAAACAAAGATAACAACAAAAATTAATTTAAGTTACTGCTTTTACTGGAGAAGTATTTCTATATGCTTCCTTTTTATTTTAGTGATTATTTATTTTTAGGTTGTGTTTTTGGTAGAGGTCTTACAACTTCTGGGGAAAATTCTAATTACACCGGAGTTGGAGTTGCATCTGAGATTAAAGTTGAAATACTAATATCAATAGCTGTGTTCGTTTGAGTTGCTAGACAATCAGTAATAAGTTTTGGAACAGAATTTGAATTAGAAAATATATCTTTATGATATGAGAATAATCCTGCCACTGTTCAACAATTTTTAACAGTCCAAATACAAATCTATTTAGAGGCTGCAACTTATGAGAGCAATGAGGAGGGAAAGAATGCAAAACTATAACTTTATCATTGCACAACGTTATTAATTGAATAGATAAATGAGATTGATAGTTGCTTCAAAGTAATAGCGTTGGGCTTTCTTTTTATTGGCTTGACATGCCAAATAAGGTTGTTCAGATAAGTAACAAAGTACTCCTTATTCATAGAGCCTAACCCATTCAGAGCACCAATGCAATCATTTGGTCTATCACGAAAAAAGTGATCAAAGAATTTTTCTTTGAAAAAGAAACATTATAAGCACCCTGTTATCACATGCATTTTTCAGCTAATACCATTTTCAAAAGTGTCTTTTGTTCTTGAGAAATTAATGCTCTGACATGATTAATACCTTTACAATCAACTATCTTGTTTAGCTTTTGTAAAGTGGTAATACCAGTCCCATTATCATTGATAATATAAGATGAAGAAAAAAGATGTTTATCTATATGATCTGATAATTTATAAAAGAACACCTACATTAGTATGATTAAAGCTATTTGCTTGTGCAAAGCTTGTTGCTTTTAGAGTTCTGATAGACAATCTTGAATGTCGATTACAGGACTTGTTGTATGTATGTATGTATGTATGTATGTATGTATGTATGTATGTATGTATGTATGTATGTATGTATGTATGTATGTATGTATGTATGTATGTATGTATGTATGTATGTATGTATGTATGTATGTATGTATGTATGTATGTATGTATGTATGTATGTATGTAGTAAGCTGATGTTAGGTCGGCAAAATTTTTTTTGAAATTTTGCTTTCTATTACAAAAGGGGTTAAAATTGTTTGATTATAAAAGCATTGATTTATAAGAGATTAGCTTAAGACAATTTTTTCAAAATTGTGGCAATTAAACTATGTGTAAGTATATATAAAGTTTAAAAGTTAGTGTTTTTTTAGTTTCAAAATTGTTTTTTAACAAAAAAAAATCACAGTTTATTTTTTTAAATTTTTATTGATATTTTAGATTGATCATAGAAAAAACGTCCTTTAGAAATACAAATTTAGTTTATCAGCTTTAAGAGAAGATTTTATTAATGGCAATATAGTTAAAAAAATGAACAGACTGTTTACAACCGTTTACAGTTTACATCCTGTTATTCTAATCTCTGCTGGGAATAAGAGTTTTTTTCTCCTACAATCGTTATTTTCCATTTTTTAATAAAAAACATTATTTGAAATCGTAGCATAGTATGAACTTGTAACTTTATGTAAATAAATCTTACACTTTACACAGCTGCCGCATGCTTATGAAAACCTAAAATATGATCTGAAAAGTTGTTTTTTTTATGACTGATATTCCGGGTACAAACGTTTCTGTTTCTAATTTAGTGCAGACTTTATTTTTATTGTAACAATTTTTCAAATGTCTTAATATATATATATATATATATATATATATATATATATATATAT